AGAACTTGGCTCCGGAGTATTTGCTGAGGTCCCCAGGTCTCCAGCCCTCTTGGTTGAGCAGTGAAGAAGCAGCGATAGAAATTTTAATGAGATTAGCAAACCCAAGAGAGAGAATTACAGCTTAATTCCCAGGGAAGATTCTAGTACAGCAGTGAAGTTCCGTGAGTGCTGTGGCCCTAGAAAGGCAGAGAAGTCATGGGGAACAGAAACTCCTAGGTGGATGAGCTTAAAGGCCACCTCAGAGTTTCCAGGCTCTAAGAGGAGTGTGGTGGAGACACCAAAAATGACTGAATAGGATTCAAGCATCAATAAGAGTGGTTTAAACAAACATTAGGCTTCATATATCCTAGGCTGGGCCAGAAGATGAAGCTACATATACTTCAACTCAGTGTTGTGGTTACACTTCAAACAACTGTAGATTGTAGTGTGCAGAACAGAGTAAGTCACACCCCACTAAGGGTTGGTGTAGACACAAGACGTATGTAAACCCAATGCCTTTCCCCTTTCTATCCTTCAGGTTCCTTTTCAAGGGAGAAGTAAAAGTGGTAATGGTAATGTGGGGTGTCCTCATCTATTCACCCTATTGATAGGAAAAGCCAAACACCACCTGACACTGAAATTATAAAGCTGAGGGTAATTAATCAGTCACATATGGTGACAGCATGGGGATGGGAGTGGGCATGGGGAGAACATTGTACGTTTACAGGGCCATGGGCATGCAAGTTTTTATGTATAAAGACATGCAGGTGCCCCTGGGTGCCGAGGAAGGGATGTAATTAGTTTGCTGGAACAATTATGCAGGCAGGCAGAGAATACAGACCTGCTAATGCAGGGTTTTCAGAAGCTGTGCCTGGAACTTACTGTATAGACCAGGCAGGATCCAAAATTATGGCAATTCTCCTGAACCTGCCTCCTGAGTTGTAGGATTATAGACACATGCTACTATACCTAGTGGACCACAGTTTATAACTAGATGATAACCAAGGCTTTTAGGAATGAGCAAAAGCATTTCTACTTGGATGCAAAGCACCCACCTAACAAAGGACAAAATATTTTGAGATGGCAATAAAAAAAATATGAACTTTACTACACAGTCTTTTGTCCAGCCAGTAATGGCTACCTGTGTGACACTTATGTAGAACTCATTATCTCCAGACACTAATCAATGCCTTTGGTGAGAATGACACTTAATAGGGGCTTGAGTATCACTTTCCAATTTGTGTTTTAAATAAGAATTCTTTGGAAAGATCACTAGACTTCTTACTTACCCTGGCTGTCTCCCAAGTTTAATCATCACTATTGTCTTTATGGGAGGTTGAATTCCCACTACATGTCTTCTTCAAGCTCTCAGCCTGAGTATTCTAAGTCACATGATTTCCCCAACTGCTGTTGTTATCTAGGATTCCTAGTCAGATACGGAGTACCCTGTTGGTGTTAGGTTGTGGGGTAAGCTTACCAGGAGAAATGTGTTAATCCAATCCATGCTTTGAGTATCTGTAAAGCAAGAAATTCCCAGTGCTCATTACCTAAAGCAGAAACTCTTGCGAATGGTGTCTACAAGTTTGCAAAAATGTTCGGGTAGGGCCAATGGCCATGGCTTCCAGTGCTAGGATGAATGCCTGCAATGCGATCATTGAACCTCCCCTTGGCTTTATCCTTTATTAGAAATGTTTTGGCTAGAAGACCAAAGGAAACAACTCTCCACAAAGATGAGTATCAGAAATATTACTGTTGTATTCACTTACTTTATTACAAGAAATTTGTCATGTTGCTAAGAACATTGAGAAGTGGATGACTTCATGAATGTCATGGTGTCTGGCAAATGAGAGAGTAAAGAAGAGGAGGGAGAATTTGTCAAAATGCCCAGATGTGACTCCATTCTGTATCTAAGATCACAGTAGACATGCCAAGCTAAGCGGGTACTACTTTAATGACCCAAGGTAAATGGGTTGCTGGGTACTTTTGAGTATAGGTTCAAGTTCTATGAGGTTCTATTCCAAGACTCTGTTAATTTCACTGTCTTCCACTCTACTGGAATATAGTATGAGGCCAAGAAAAGGCATTTTTAAAAAATTAGAATCCCGTGGGCAATTTATAATCATCATAGGCAATCCAGAGACTGGGGATATGAGATGTAGCAACCAAAGTATCTGTAGGTACCAGCAGAATTGTTTATCACTTATAATTTGTACAGATTATCTAGTTTTTGGCTTGGCAGGATTCCTATTCAACATGGACCAAAATTTTAGTAATATTAAGATTTCCAACTGAGTACATTGCCTCCAGAACCTAAAGGAGAAAAAAATAGATGTTGATTTAGTTACTTATCTATTGCTTTGATAAAGCACCATGATCAACACAACTTAGGAAAGAAAGTACTTAATTGGTCTTATGGTTCCAGAAGTTTAGAGTCCATGACGGTAAGGCAAAGACACAGTGGCAAGAACTGCTGAGAGCTCACACCTTGGTCTCAAAGCATGAAGCAGAGAGTGTTCACTGAGCATGCTGCAAGTATTTTGAGTCTCAAAGCCCAACTCCAGTGGCAAACCTCCTCCAAAAAGGTCATACCTCCAAATCCTTCCCAAACAAACCTACCGACTGGGGACTAGGTATTCAAGCATATGAACCTATGGGGGCCATTATCATTCAAACCATCACAGATGCTGAACATGTATTCACTTTATGGGTGCTGAAAATGTCAGTGTCTATTCCTTGACAGTGTCAGGAATGGAATGGCACATGGGTTAACAAGTGAATTTCAAGTATTTAATAGAGGTGAAAGGGCCTTCTTCTACTATGTCTGAGGTAGTGACCCTGCTTTTGTAAGCCTTTTTCTGACTTTTTAAAAAGAAATTATAATATTATTTTCCTTTTTAAAGCAATTTTCTGTAGGGAATGTGTTCAGCAGCATTGCTGCCCGTGGATGCCATGAGTAGCCCAGTTAAGGTGTATCATGTCTCTTTGTCAGTAAAAGCAACTGTGATCAAATGTGTGGTAAATTCATCATATTAGTCAGATTAATAGCAGTAAAATATTTGGAAGTTATTGATTGGGTGAAATTGGCACTTTTAGTCAGGAGGTTATTAGATATATGGGCCTTTATAGAAAAGGACCATATGTTAAAGATTGTAGAAACCCATTGCAGAACATCATACTTTGTCCCCAATCCCAAAATTTAGGAACGGGACAAATTAAATCCAATTGAACTAAAATGGAGAATCAGTCAGGATAATCGCTCCTTCACCCACCAGTTCTTATATAATAAGTTTGAATCCCTGAAGACACTATTTTACATTAAATGAGGCGTGTTAATTATGTTAACATGGAATGGGGGTGGGAGAATCAGCATTTCTCATTCTGTCAAACAAATTTGTGTCAAAGACTTAATTTAATTTTCATTAGGTCAGAATGTCTATGCCTACCATGTGATACTTTAAGGCAAGTGTATTCTGATGACTAAGACAATATTGTTCTGTTTTTATGCTTGCTTATTCTTCTAAGACTGTAGGAAATAATATGTTTAAATTTAGTAAGCACTTCAGATCTACCTGCTAGTGGGATTTCATTTTTGTTTTGTTTTGTTTCCAGACAGGGTTTCTCTGTGTAGCCCTGGCTGTCCTGGAATTCACTTTGTAGACCAAGCTGGCCTCACATCAGAAATCCACCTGCCTCTGTCTCCCAAGTGCTGAGATTAAAGGCTTGTAGCACCACCACATGAATAAAACAAATTTTTTTTTTGTTTTATGTGCATTAGTGTTTGCCTGCATATATATCTGTCTGACGGTGTTGGGTCCCCTGGAACTGAAGTTACAGACAGCTGTGAGCTGCCTTGTGGGTTCTGGGAATTGAACCCATGTTCTCTGGCAGAGCAGCCAGTGCTCTTAACCTCTGAGCCATCTTTCCATCCCCCTTAGACTTACTTAAAGCTGTGGTAATTTACCGGTTGGTACATTTCAGCGGACATCACTGTAAATTGTGAAGTAAATTATAGAGACACAAAAATAGATCAGAGCCCTTTTCCCTTTGATCTATAAATTCTTTCAGGTAAGTTTTAAAGTTCCAGTTAGGCTAGCTTGTGCAGCTTTGCTCTGGTATTTATTTATTTATTTATTTATTTATTTATTTATTTATTTATTTATTTATTTATTTATTTATTTATTTTTGCTGTTTTCCTTTCTCTGTATTTAGGTTTTTAATCTTTATGTTTCTCATTAAAGATTTTTTTTATGGTGGCTGTGCATTGGATATATTTAGTAGAGGTGGTGGGGGAGGGCCCTCTTCCCCTTTGTGATATTTATAAGCTCCTTCCTGAAATCAATATCTTCAAGTTTTCAGGTCTGCCTCATGGTAATCATTGACATATATGTTTAAAGACACTGGGTTTGGATTCACCCCTGTACAGGTGCCACAAGGATGCCAAGGGTTTGTCCTGTAGGATGCCACGGATATTTCCCTCCAACTCTGTGGATTAGGATGTTTGTTGCAAGAGAAGCACTGTCAGTGATGTGGTGCAGGGAAAGAACCCTAGATAGGACTCTCAGACCTAATTAAAACCACCTTCCACAGCAGCCCCACATTTCCTGTTACATAGGTAAACCCTCCCCCTTTCTCCTTTTCACCGCCTTTTTAAAATGAAAAAAAAAAAAAAAAAAAACTCTCTGGCAGTATTTTGGGTTTCTAACCAGGGAATGTTTTATACTTTAACTTTTGTCTCTACACAATCATCTTTTGCACAGATTTTTGGTGCGGTTATAGGGAAATGTTCAGGAACTTGTTAGCCTACATTGTAAGTGGCTGCCCCTTCCTCCAGGGATTCCTAGTTCATCTTCCTGGGTAGAGGTCCACATCCAGAAAAGTCTTAAGTCTATGGGCTTGGGATTGTAAATTAGCTTTTTGGTGTGCTTTTAGCCCAGGGCATATTGGCAGTGGGTTTTGCATCCCAAGATTGGTTGAGTGCCAAATGCTCCTTCCTCTCTCTACCCCCTTTTTGTTTTCATCAGCACCTGGGCCACAGGCCACGGGCCACCATGGATGTGAACCTTGATGCCCTTGGGGGTCAAAAGAAAACAAGCGACAGCAGCAAGGGAAGCGACAGCCCAGGAGCCCAGCAAGGTCACTACCCCTGCATGAACAACACCAGGAATGCCATGCCTGATTCTCTGCAGGATGGTGGTCTCCTTCCTTTCCACAGACCTTACCAAGGGTGTCCTTTGGCTTGTCCCATGTACTCATAATTACAAACAATATCTGTATTATAACCTCAAGTAACTCGTGGCAGTCCCCAGGATAGACACGGTGACCAGAGAGCTCTAGATTGGACCACGGAAAGCAGGGCTGAACTTCTGCTTGGTTAAGGCATTGCCCTTTTCTCTGCTGTAAGAAACGGAAGCCTCGGCGACCACCTGTCAGACAAAGTTCAACCTGATACCGTGTTGACATCATCTTGGAGACAAGAGAATCATAGTATGGAAAGAGAAATGATGATTGACAGAGACAGCGTGCTGCCACACAGTCCACAGCTCAGAGTCCCCAGCAATTAGAGGTTTCTGTTTCAGCTTTTGCCATATCTCAGAACCAGTTACCCCACAGCAGTTACTTTGTGATGATTAGATATTCTTTAGATAACAATGTTTGGAAGGCTATGTAGTCCCCAACACCAGTAATTTGCATTCCTTCCTATTCACCCCATTGGTGAGGTAGAGATTCTCTCTCTGGAGACCTGGCAGTGGCTGAACACATTTAACAGTTGACAGATGAGATCCACAAAAGTTTTGGGATCACATATGCTCACAGGACAAGGCCAAGAACACTGCAGACCATGCAAAGACTTGGAGAGGGTAGAGTGGGTGACCAGAGCTGTGAACAGTAATGAGAGTATCCTGTCCACGAGTTCCCAAAGAGGATAGGATTTTTGCTGTGCTAACTAGGAGCTAAAGCCTGCTACCTAGGGATAAGCAGAATTTATGCCTGCTCCCTGAACTAAGGGTGGCATAACTAGGGTTCCTCCACGGCAGAAGAGTGAAAAGAAAAACATGCTATTAAGTAAATGAAGGCCCTCATCAATTTATTAGAGGTCAGGGCAGCACAGAAAATTTTAATTTTAATTTTTTTTGCCATAGGCCACATGAAGGAACAAGTCCTGTAGATGGTCATGAATTATTTGAAAATGTACAAAGAGAGAATAAATTTTAATGGGGAAGTAAATGGTGTTATTTTGAGTTAAAAGACTGTCAAGACTATGAAGGAAAAATGAAGACCCGTGATTTAAAAAAAAAAAAACCTATTAAAGAACAATGCATTTATGTATTTGAACATATGTGCAAATGTATGACCAGATGAAAGGGAAGCTTTGATAGTACTTGAATGCGCAAGAATTGAAATTTATAGCCAGAACTAGGTTTTCTAGAATTATTGACAACTTAATGACCAAGTAAACAAACCCAAACATATGACAGCCATGAAAACCAAGTACATGATATGTTTAATGTCAGGATTAAATATTTCTAAAACTCTCTTTTAAGTGATAACTATGTTGGTAAATAAGAAAGATAATTTTTCATGAGCCCAGAAGAGTAAAAGCTTACAAAGATCAAGGTGAGTGCTGAAGGCTGCCTCTTTGCTTCTGTTTCTCTCTCTCTCCCCCAACTCTTGAATAAACTTCTGTTTATTCTAGTCTTATTTCAAGTCTAAGGGCCAGGATGAATGACTGTTGCTCTAGTCCAGGTCTGAGTTCAGTGGTAGAGGAAAACTGATGTTGTAAGTCAAAAACAGGCAGAGAGACCGAGCTCTTCCTCACTCCAGCTTTAGTGGGATGGATGAAGGCAGCACATACTGGGAAGGAGGATGTGCTTTACATGCGTCCACAATGTTAGATGTTAATCTCATCCCAAACCACTCTCCTAGCCTGGATGTCACAATCAGAGCACCCTGTGACCCCATCAAGTTGACACATACAATGAACCCTTGCAATTGTCAAATGTCTTAAGTGAGATAATACTGAGATGTGCTCGGTCAGGTCCAACTCAGTTCTGGCAGAATGAGGGTAAAAATAGGTATTTTTAATGTACAGAGAGCAGTAGACTCCATGAATTTTTAAAGTTTATGCTGTAAGGGACACAAGAGGAACTATTTCTGAGGATACGATACATAATAAAGAATTTTGTAAAAACAAAACAAAACAAAAACAACCCATGATTTTATGGATATATATGATCAAATAGATACACATTATGTATGTAGAGTATAGTGTCATTATAAGTGGCCTGATTTTAGGTAGTTAAACAAAAAGTATATGTGTATGGTTAGAAATACTAAATACTACTGGGTGGTGGTGGTGTACACCTTTAATCCCAGCACTTGGGAGGCAGAGCCAGGCAGATCTCTGTGAGTTTGAGGCCAGCCTGGTCTACAGAGCAAGTTCTAGGACAGGCTCCAAAGCTACATGGAGGAACCCTGTCTCAAAAAAAACAATAAAAAAGAAAAGAAATATTAAATACCACAAGCTTTTAATTGATGAATAATTTGTATCTTAATGAAAATATTTATAATGTGAAGTCCACTAGTCAAAAACTGTATTTGACCCTTTCTGTAACATACTCATTGAATTTAACATAAAGTATTATTGGCAGCATTTACTGTTAACAAACTATTTATAATAAGTCATCAGATCTGATAGTTTAAGGTCTTTATTTTTGCTCTAATTTTAATATGAAGCTATTCTTGGTCATTTGCATTTGAAAACAGTTTTTTTTGGGGGGGTAGATTTCCTCATAAAACTTTTCTTCTTAATGGCCTTCTAATAGCTGTCCTTGACATTGGTCTCTATTTCCAGGTAATGCTTCTCATACTCATCTTTTCTATGTGATGTGGAGATTTTCCTGGATCCCCAGTGCTCAAATGAAAAGATGTGCTCATGAGTTTTAATGACATTTGCTTCTTTGCAATATGGATTCCAGTTATGTGTATGTCCCAACACAGTGGCAGTCTATACCAACTAGGCATTCCCTTCTTTAGTGGGGACTTACCTTTTACATGTGGTGTTACTATTGTGTATATTACAGTTTTTAGTCTCTGTCACTAATTCCCCAGAATCCAGCACTGAGCAAAACACTCCATAGATGCTCCGTAAGACATGGGTGACAGGAGACAAGCTGTGCTCAGTAACTGTCCCAGGAGGTGTAGATGAAGGCTTAGTGAGGATGAATGGACTCTGGTCTTTCCTTGTTAGCTAGGCTAATTCATTTTGAGGATCCTTGGCTTCCTTTTCTTTACAATAGACTTAGTAAGGACCACCGTACATCCCAAGGTCACACAAGAAAATTTTCATCGAAGGGCTTAAAAACAGTGCATGTTCAAAATCATTTTGTCAGTCTTCCTGTTATAAAAATCCTCTATGTACATATGTAACAACCATTAAAAAGAACCATGAATTTGAAAGAGAGCAAGGAGGGGTGTGTGAGAGGGGTTGGAGGTAGGAAAGGGAAGGAGGGAAATCATGTAACTATAATTTCGAAGACTAAAGAAAAAGCATTATTGTTAAAAATTGCCACTGCAGAAAGTTTGGAAAACAATAAAACTGGAAGAGAAAAGCAGAAATCATAGCTAGTAACTCTACTAACATAAAGGACTGCTGTTGCAATACATTTCTCTTAAAGTGTTGTCTCCTCATGCATTTTATAAAAGTTGTAGATGCATACGGGTTACAACATTACTTTTTTACTTGCTTTTTAAGGCACATTTTGGATATCATTTTCATGAACTCATTGTACTTATATAACAAAAATATAGTAACATTTTTGTTTTACAAAAGATTTTGTACAGGCTAAATGAATCCATTTAAATACATTTTCATCTGTTTAACTCAATTATAGGATAATATAAGCATTATAATTTGAGGAATAAAAACATTTTGAAGAGATGATTTTTCTTGTTTTTTGCTATTGGGTAGTTTTTTTTTTTAATCCATGCTAAAAAAAATCCTCTAAATGCTTAAAATTTTGCTACTGTGATTTTGATTAATTTTTTTGCTTGATGAAATACTTAACTGGTTTCTTCTCCTATAATGAAAAATAAAGCAGTGGGAAAAAACAAAATGGAGATTAAGTGGGTACAATCATTTTTCCTCTTTTCTCCACAGCAAAGGGAAAAAGATGAAAATTATATTTATTCACAAATAGAGTAAGAGACATTCAAAAAAAATTTTCATTAAATGGATAAGATAAGATACATTGGTAGAAATAAAAATTATATATATAAACAATATATATATACTAGATATATTGAAGTATCAGATCTATATGTCAACTTATTTATCCAGGCCACTTTTTTTTTTTGTTTTTGTTTTTTTCGAGACAGGGTTTCTCTGTGTAGCTTTGCGCCTCTCCTGGAACTCACTTGGTATCCCAGGCTGGCCTTGAACTCACAGAGATCCGCCTGGCTCTGCCTCCCGAGTGCTGGGATTAAAGGCGTGCGCCACCACCGCCCGGCCTATCCAGGCCACTTTTATGAACAATCTCAATCTTCAGCAATGTCTCTTATTTTTACCATTATGCTTTGTTTGGGGTTATATCTACTTAAATTAGAATAGATACTAGAAGTTAACAAGTGTTGAATAAAGTAAGGTGATCAGGAATTGTGCCCGTGACCTTCCTCAGTGTAATTAGAACAGTACTTGGACTAAAAATTGTCTTTGAAGTATCATAAAACAGTTGAGGATTTGGACCCAGTTTAACTCCTGAAGACAACACTGAAACAGTTTATTGCAGAAAGAATGTAAAAATTTCTCCTTTAGGGAGAGACTCATGGTAGGATTAAGGAAGTGTGGTTTTCTGTGACAAAATGCTTTTCTGTACAGATGCTGTAAAATAGTAGCCAAGATGGAACCTGTGTGTGTGTGTGTGTGTGTGTGTGTGTGTGTGTGTGTGTGTGTGTGTGTGTTGGGCCTACTGATTATAAGTGTATTTTTTATTAAACATTGACTCAGTAAGAATGTCTAAGAGTTAACCTTTTTGCCTTTATAACCCACACCATAGGCTGTCTCTAAAAACTTATCCACAGAATGGCTTAAGAGGACCATTGGTGTCCATAACAATATTCTATGATAGCATTGATAA